CGATGTAGCTTCGCAGCTGGGGGTCGTGGGCTCGATTCCGCTCGGACTACTATTTGTGATACACAGATAGTTGTTTCGCATCTGGGTGTTTGTCCACACGTTATTACAGCACGGGATAATGTTCCGGTAATCCTACGGTAAGGGCAATGTTTAAAAAACATCTGGTTGTAAGTAAACGCCACCACCCCTGGAATTTGCAACACCAGTAAAGATCAACGCTAGCATAAACCGCTTGTGTTTGTTATCCTTTGGGCGATCCTTGTCTCATGGTGAAACAGAATTTCTATATCAAATGATATTACCCCATCCTAACCGCAATGGTCTTACGTAAATTGGCTGATCAGACTGTATGGGCTGGCTACGACTAACGATGTTAACATTAAACTCGATACCTCGGTGTAATCCGAAACGGACACATTTGTACCAGCTGGCTAGATCGGTTAGGCTGGTCGGTACTTTTGTCACCCGGTGGTTAAGACACTGGCTCAGACAGCTGTTCGCTCAGAGTTTGGTATGTCACTGTCCAGCGCGACATTTTAAGTTCGTTTTATAATTGGAACGTTACGGTTTATCTTCGACCGCCGTTTGTTATGTCGTCGCAGCTCTATTGTGCAACGTCCCTAGTTATGAGAACAGATATAAACTCCAGATATTTTGGGACGTATCTCATTTCCCCTTGATGCCGGTCCCGTTTATTTACGCATCTCTAATAATGCTGTACATTAAATACGCGCCATTTTTGTTAAACGGAAAGAGACCACTTTGTAAACGGCGCACAATTGGGCAGCATTCGCGGAGGAATGGAATGTTTGAGATGGATTTAATTTGTTTTTGGCTCTGATAAAAGCCGACAAGCGGCTGCAATTGTGGATTTATTTAATTCCACGCTTTGAGATGTTTCTTACGAACGGTATCTTGTAAATTTTTTGCCACAACTTTTTCTGTGAACAATTGTCAATCGAGCAAGCTGAACTGCTTACCTGATGTTAAGTGATTACCACCGCCAATGGATATCTACAACACCTTAGTGTTTGCAGATGCGTTGTCAACCGTAAAAAAAATAGTGGGAACCGGCTACCTCGTTCACCAAACGAAACGCGAAAGTATAATACGAGTAATTTCACTTCAGATTAATTCCACTACACGCCGGTCTTACGCGAGGTCATGGTACTTCCCCGGACGAGCATGCCGTCGTGCAACTGCAGCACAGTTACTTGGCCCTACCACAGTAAACGATAACGAAGTTGTACAGTTCGTTATCGTATACTGATACAATACAAAACGATACGAAGACTTTACAGTTCAACTTTATTCGAATTACGAAACAGAAATCGAATCGCTCCATTATTTTCTTTCGAAAGTGTCGGTCTATCGTAGCCTGTCCATCGGCATTCGTAGTACGATATGCACGCCGCTGTGCCGTGCAAATTGTAAGTGTCACTCGGACTATGCGGGCCCAGCCAAGGCGTCTCGACAGCTATGCGCAGCGGTATTGTTACTAATAATAGGGCGGCCGAATGTTGGCAGAGCACCAGATCGCCGCAGACGACACTGGTACGACGCCGCGGGAACAATGGTGACGAGTCGTGACCGATCGGTGCACAGTCTTGGCTAGCTTAAGCCACCGCTGGACGTCTCCTCGACCGACTTCGAAATAGGAGGTTTCTTTTTGTTTGTCGCCTCACAAGTCCGTCGTTTATGAAACGTTTTGAAAAGTTATCTAAAGTTAAGCTCCCGCGCTTATTTAATTGGACTTAGCCCGTTATCATTATCGATACCTAACTTTAAGGAACCGCCTAAAAAACTTTCGTTTTCACCACCACTTATGTGTCACTTATATACTTACAGTCTTAAGTTAGTTAGTCTTATAGTTATAGTCTTAAGCTTATTAGATGTTCGGTTTCAAACTTTAAATTTTTAAGGCGGCCCCTTAAAGTTAGGGATCGATGGTGAAAACGGGCATTAGACTCCGGTAATACATGAGGGAACTTCTCAAAATCAAATAGAAATATTGATTGAGATATTTGATATCGACTTTGTTTTTGTTAATAAAAATATATGTATAATATACGCGTGTCGGACGATTGAACGTAGCGGAGTCTCGCGGAAGTATGTGCTGATGCTAAACTTGCGGGATCATTAGGGGAAGTACCGTACACACTCGTAAATATGAACTATTTATACTTTTTGCGTTTTGTCCGAGTGAGTCAACGAACTCACCCTTTGAAGGTCAGCGACGCATACCACACGCAACCACACGTAATCAATAAATTTTTACGGTGGTAGGGCCACGCGGCAGCCTCGGCTGTTGCACAAATGGGCAGGCTCGTCCGGGTAAGTACCACGACCTCACAGAAGACCGGTGTAAAGTGGAAGTACAATACTTTCGGTATCCGGAGTCCAATTTTCAAAAGGTTGTCAACGCATCTGCAACCCTCGGGTGTAGAAGATGTCTATGGGTGGCGATATTCATTTAACATCAGGTGAACTGTCTGCTCGCTTGGCACCTTTTCACATAAAAAAAATCACAGATGAATAACATCATTCTTTGTAATAAAGTCATATATTCGCTTTCAGACCTATATCAAGCTGTGTGCTATAGATAATTCGCATGTGTCTTTTCCTCACCCGTGTTCTGTCCTCGAGTTTCCGCTAAATGCAGATGATGCGTTTTATGCGTGCGATTGCGATTAATTTCCGACCCCCCGATAATTGTATCGGATCTGGCTGTTTGTCCACGTGGAATTTATGTATATAAAATGTCCTTACAACACAGGACAACGTCATTCTACAGTTATCTTTCGAAGGGAAGACTACAATAGATCTTCTAGGTCGTATCCACCGAATCCCTTATACACAAAATACAAATAGTCTCCCTATTCAAAAAAACGCTTCAACCATAGGGCCTATAGGAGTTCGTATAAGATAATTGGTTTAACGACTATTGAAACAGACAACCTACATTATACTTTTAAAGCTTATCCGAGCTTACTACTATACGGTCGCAATAAAAATAGCCGTAAAATATTGATAACCTAGATACGGCCAATGTCAACAACGTCAGCGATTACGCGCGGTTACGCAAACGCGCGCGTACGCAGACAACCCCCCCGGGCCCCTCCCCCGCCCCACAATCGTCTCCCACACCTCACCTCCACCCGCCTACTGACCTCGCTACGTCACTTTCGCCGGTGGCTAAAAGTCATATGGATACTGGAAGTGACACGTGTGAAGAAATAAAATAAAAAAAAGGAAACAGCACTCGGTTTTCCAGAGCCCCAAAATAAGCGAACACGAAATCGAAGAAAGCGGTAATAGCTACGAGCGCTGAACGCGATTCGAAGTTTTAGATTAAAAATATAACATGAAGAAGTTGAATGTAGAAGGAAGGCGTTAAGCTTTTCGTCACTGTGGCTATCAGCCGTTTAGCTCAGTGGCTAGAGCGTCAGGCCGCAAATGCCGAAGACGTGGGTTCGATTCCCACAGCGGCGACAATCTTTTCTACATGTTTTAATAAAGAAGTTTATATGTCACTGTTACAACTGTATTAGGTACAGGATAAGATTGAAAAATAGTAAAAATGCCTACTAATAAATATATATTTATGTTAAAACTTCTTTTAAAACTGAATTAAGAACCCGTTGAAAATGAAACAACTTCCTGGGCCTGACTATACTCGACAAAATAACTAGCGAAACATTTTCAATATAGCTGTACAAATTATGTCTTTCAGTATAAATCTTTAGGTATTTTATTAATATACATAGCTATTTTGTCTTAAAAGTGTAAAGTGAAAATATAAAGGATATAGTTTTAATCGAAACCTTATAAAATAAAAGTGACGTTTTTGTTTATAGCACTTCTAGTTAAACTCTATGTCCCTGATTGTTTAACTACTTGACTGGCCAGTGGCCCAGTGTTTACCGGAGCAGGGGGTCAAGTGAAATGTGTTACCTAGACCCGCGAAGAGTATCACACGAATATTTTTATTGCGTATCACTACTTTTTATTTTCATTCATGACTTTCACACGCATTCTTTGTATTCTTCTTATAGCGGCAAAGATTTTAATCAGAAGTTAAACTGCCATTATTTGTCTTTTGTTAGTTTCTTACGAAGTTCGATCTAAGTCGCTTACATTTATTAGCCTTGATAATCATACTCAGGTACATCGATTCGACCGTTTAAAAAAAGTTTAAAATCATTCAACTTTTTAAACCTTAGATTTAGGCTTAGATTGAGATAATTAGATTGAGGTAAACGAAACTAGTGTGCGGATTTTATCGCGTTTTAATTTTGATTTTTAATTGTCGACGTTTCGAACCCTTTCCACCGTTCATGGTCACGGAACACTGAGTTGTTACGCGTCTTGATGTCGAAGTTAGCCCGAGGTACCGTCAATTATTTTGTTAATTATTTTATTCAGATCTACGCTAAATCGTCAGTCATTTCGATGATTTTTACTCGAAAAATATCTGATAACAGGAAAGATCGTTGTCGCACTTGACTGAGTTACGTTTAGGAATTGGTTCCGAATCTTATATCTAGATCGCAGATTGACATACTATCAGCTAGAACATCATTGCCTTAATAAATAAGCTTTTTCCTAATATTTCGTATAAGCGCGATGGAAGAATTGTAAGAAAATATTAGTAATTTAAAAATTTTTGACTGATTATTTTTTTCAACAGCAGCCTCTGCTCTTCTCTGGATGGATAATCTTGCCCGGGAAAGTACCAAGGTCGCATAAAAGGCCGGCAAGTTGACTTCTGTTGAATCACCTGCGCGTTTGTCAACTATAATTTCACTCTATACTAACAATAATTATTAGTATATGACGCTAACACCGTATAAACTCTTCAGATTTGTCCAATCAGCCGCTACGAACTAAAATCTTTACGCGTGCGATTTCGCCACGACGGCGCTTTTTGGGCTTTATTATAGAAAGAGGCTTACGCTCCCACAGCCGCTCTCCTTGGAAACAATCGCCCGATGTTATTAGCCCAGGAGATAATCCCGCCAAATTGTATCGGCGAATGGATGAACGTCGTCAGCATGTGTAATGAGACCGTCGTAATCCGGTCGGATTGTTATCGCCGCCGCCCGTTCGGCCACATTGTAAGTGGGCGCTGTAAACATTACAGCGGACGTATCGTCTGTGCCGATTCGGGCTCCGATTGTATTTATCTTTTATCTTTTAGCAATATCATGCAAAAAGATAAATTTATCTCTCGGTTGCTTACAGTCCTTTGCTTTCGTTTTTAAGGTCTTTTGGATTTCATAAGTTAGTTTCACCTGATAGTAAGTGAGGATGGTTCGACAACCATGGACTATCACAATACGAGAGATAATGCAGGCGTTTTTCCCGACCACTAAGAGTCTTGGACTGCGGCTAACGCCCCGTTTCAATATTAATTCCACAGATACATTTGGTTATTGGAGATTTAATTTTGACGTAAGTAATATGGAGCCAATGTCAGATAAATTCGATACTGAACTACAGATAATTTTCGATACTAGTGATGGACTAGTAACATGTAGATAGAATATTGAAACCGGACGTTACTCACTCACCGGACGAACCGCAAAAGTATAAACAATTTTACTTCATGCCATTCTCCTGTAACACCTGGCTATATCGCCGATCGATGGCCACAGAATAGATAGACCATCATCATCATCCGACTGCCCTCACCCAATTGGGTGGGGTCATCCCAACACCTGAGTGATGTTGCTAGTGGTAATACCTCTTGGGTTGGGTTTTCACGACCGGTTGCCAGCTTGACGTCAACTCTCCTTGGGAACAAAATAACGTTTAATGTAACAATGTAATATCAGTGGGTCACGGAAACACGTAACTCGTAACGTTTGGAAAATAAACAAATGATTCCCGGTGCCTAAGTCAATAGCTTAGGGACTGCGCCACCGAGACATTGAGATGAGATAAAGACGACATGTGCTAGATAGAGAGATAGATAGATAGTCTTTATTTGTAAAAACATGGTATACATACATTGCATGCAAGATATTAAATATACATTGTCCTATCATGTCCAGGCCGTATCACGGCATACAAATTGGTTACAAGAGATGGTGCATTGACCGCAATATTGTTTATTATAAACTTTATACTATTGCCAAATATAATCACATGTCATTATTCATTCATAATAAAATTAATTACGAAATTGATTAATAAAATTGTTACAATAAATAATGTCAATATTAAAATAACAGATGATAATTCAAACAATTTACAATTTTAGTACATAACATAATGCAAATTAAATTATATTAAAATAAGAAGTAATTTTGAATATTACGAAAAATTGTCTTCCTTCAAAAATTCTAAGATATTGTAGTATGTTCGATTAATTAAAAAATTCTTTAATTGTCTTTTAAGATCAAGAGTACTTAATTCTGCCAAAAGAAGATCTTATCAGTTAATGTAATCTGAATTGAAAATGGATCAACATCTTATTATTATTGATCAATTATAAACATTTACAGTGATACAAATCACCGCTTCACCATCATTATGTTTCTTATTTAAACAAAATGGACTTTTGTGTTTTCCTCGAGAACGTACTAAAATATTTCTCAGTCCTCTGTACGAACTTAGTCATTCTGTGAACTGTCAGGTGCAATTTACACGGTTGCCAACCTCCCGTCGCGTCATTTTAAAGTGAAATTATTAAGTTTGTTTTGCTTTGCGACGCACTCAAAACAAACGCTTCATCATCAATGCACTCCTGCTAGATAAATTCGGAGTATTTCGGTGCGTGGTACACATGTGTATAGTGACGCTCAAACACCCGATAAATCTCGCGTGTTTTGAAAATTGAGTTACATTTCGTTATTTATTATCCATCTTCGCGACGGTTGCGACGTTTTGGTTATACACAGATATTTAACTATTGCATACTTCTTAATTAGTCTTTGGAGATGTAGGGAAATGGATCTAATCTAATTTCTGTGTATAACCTTAGACCGGTTCGGAGCAAGCGCCAAAAGAACGCGTTGGCGCAATGGGCTGTGCTTTCGATTCTTACAAGTAGCTATTTGTTTAATGATTGTTTTTGTGCCCTCTATTGTCTCTGTGCAAAGGTCTTTGCCCAGCAATGGGACATGCATAGGCTGTTATTTACTTACTTACTTTAGAACTATCTAGACCTACTGATTCAAATTCTGTACGAACCTTGTTATGTCTTTATGAACCGTAGAAAAATCGCATGAGAATATTGATTCCATAAAAGTGCAAAACTTTGTTTCGAATATTCTTCCAATCTGTGTAGACATACAAACGTTGTGTATAAAGTTTTTCTATCTGTCTTGAATTATTAGTTACTTGCGTTGGAAGCAATGAAAATTATTTTCTCCAAAGTTTTCATCCGACGACGATTCAAACGCGTTTAGAAACTGCGTCGAGTGTGGAAATCAAGAGTCATCCATATTGGCTAATACTAAACGGTGTGCTGCTATAGCCGATGCGAGAACTGGCGGCGTATCAAGTGATATCGTAAATATCACTGACCTTGCCCGTCCCCACCGCAAGCGTAACTGGTTCGACAACCACTTATGGAACACCGTCTAATGACATGCTAATTCCGTTTGCAACACGGACGCTGCGGAATCGTTCGACTCTCAATCGTGTTTTAAAGAAAAAAAGATTATCCGATCGACGGTGCTAATTTATTGAGGAAAATTTTGTTTATACGATTACGTAATTATGCAATTATTTAATTGGATTAATACTCTACCACTTAGTAACCTGAACTTTAGGATTTAAAAATGAAAGTAATATGCTTTAGTTGATATGAACGTAAGAAATTTCATATTTAATCAAATTCTTTATTCGATTATTCAAATGTGCGCAATGCCGTTCATTTCAATGTGCCGAATTTGTAGCTTACTAACCGCCGCTCAACAGAGACTTTGTAACAGTAAATCGTGCACACAGAAAACGGATAACGCATTATTGAACTTGCGATAGATGCTATATGATTAACTTTAAACATTTACAGTGATATAACCTACCACAACTTCTTAGTGCCACCCTAAGGTTGACTGGTAGAAAATGCTGTCAGCATTAAGTCCGCCTATGTACCGTGTTTTGTGAAGTTTAAAAATAGATAAATAAATAAAGACATTGTTGAACGATGGCATTCGAACCCGTGAAACTCACGCCTTTGGGCTGGCGCGCCTTCCTTTTGAACTTCAATAGCCACGTGGTCCAAACAAACGGACATCGATCGCCGCTTCAAACGGCTCGGCGTCACGAGCGTCGTTCGTCTGCCGGCGGTGTTTACTTTGGCCCAGCGGCAAGCCACAAACGCCCTGCCCCTAGTCAAAAGTAGAATCGACAGCGGCGTAGATTTACAACGTAACGTTACACACGCGGACGGTTGTAAATTGCATTCGTTGTTATCTCGCCCCCGATTCTGTCTCGTCGATGTTAGTGCAGGCATGTCAGTCGTCGGACGCTTTTGATTCGCGCACAAATCTCAAATCCCGTTGTAGGCGCTGAGGAAGTTGTTGGTTGAAATTTCGTGTGCCGGTTTGCACAGAAGGTATTAGGGTATAGGCCGACACGACCCCACAGCGGATTGGTGGACTTCACGTATACTAAATATGCAGGTTTCCTCAAGATGTTTTCATTTTCATTCACGCCGACCACGGGATGAGTCAGCAATAAAAATTTAACATTTCATTGCTGTCGGCGCCGGGATTTGATCTTGGCTTGCTCGAGCATATTGAATTAAAAACCGACCAAGTGCGAGTAGGAGTCACGCACGAAGGGTTCCGTTCCTATAACTATAATAAACTAATTTGGAAATACATACAGGTTGCCTAGCAACCGCCTTACGTTTGTTGTATGGGAGACCCTTAAATACTTTTTATTATATTCTGTTCTTTTTAGTATTTATTGTTATAGCGACAACAGAAATACATAATCCTAAGAAAATTTCCACTGTCTTAACAATCACAGTTGATGCGATACAGACTGGTGACAAACGGACAGACAGACATACCGACAGCAGAGTCTTAGTAATAGGGTCCCGTTTACCCTTTCGGTACGGAACCCTAAAAATGAACGACCAAAGTTCGACGTACAACAAAACATTGATTCATCAGCGACCGGCTCGCTTTGAACCCCAGTCCGTACTTGACCTTTCGGTGTACCTACCTCATTTCGCGAACAAAAACGGTTAAGCGTGCAGTGTCATTAACTCTACACGTCGCGTGCAAACAATAATTGATCAATTGAGTATCGATAGAAAAAATATCTCAAATAGGTACTCGATTTGCCTTCCCTACAGAACGGTCTCTCTCGTACTCATCGATTTTAGTGATGTGCCTGACAGCAGCGAGTGGATATATCGATAACTGTACCTTATATTATAAACAGATCCCAATATTGTCTACATTACGCGTTACTAGACTCTCGATATTTTGTGCGACGTTTGCAAAAGTTTCCGCAACTGCTGTCTATGAAGGGACGAAGAAACTGACGACGGCTACTACTATAGCAATCGCCCATTGTTATTTGTTGTCGATATTGCCGAGCATTTAACTCTAAATGATCGCGGTTGCGCAAAATGTAAAACAAGCCGCACGGGCATTGTTATTGGAAATTGGAGATTTAGTAGAAATAATGTTGCTGAGATATTGGTATTTTTTTATAAAACCGCTTTGGTCTTTGTTACGATACCTATATAGAATGCGGTGGGCTGTTTGTTCGCCCTGCTACTTAAAAATGTTGATGAAGAAATTAAACAATAATCATGTTTATTATTATTTTAATTCATTGCTTTAACGTTACAAAAATTGAACAAAAAAATTTAGTCTTGTGAGTGAGGGTAAGTGCGGTCTTGCGATGCCACTGCAATCCATCGAACGTGTAAGCATTGAACATCGACTGAACTACCGACATACACATATATGTCGGTGTGAGTGTATGTACATACATACACATATGAAACGTTACTTTTCATCGGTCATAGCATTTTATTTTTATTTGTATTATATTTTATAACTTTACAATTATATTTTATTTCGCGCGCTATTTATTTTTCTTTACGAACAAGTCACGCGAACGCGTATACGAACCGAAATGAAATCGCACGTTACACGTGAACGCTTTTCTCAAGACGGGGCGTCTTGTCGGCGACGCAATAAAGCGAACGTAAAAATAGCGTGGGCGGCGGTGTCGAATTTCCATTAAAAACGAGACTTTCGAAGGCGGCTTATGAGAGATGAAAATTTTTCCAAAAGTTAAGAGAGAAAAAAAGAAGAAACGAAACCAGGAATCAGGCGCTCGTAAAGATTAAACTGCGCGAAGCGCGCAAGACGTACGCACAAAGCGCCACCCGTTCCGCGGATACCAAATATGTAAACGCGTAAAAGTACAATGCGACCGAGACGGGAGTACTCCAGGTGGGGTGTACAGTCAAGGGTGGGGGCTCGAATCGCAATCCGCCGGCTACTAACGGCTGAGACGCGGGCGTCGGAGCGTATTTCGATGTTGTGCGCCATTCGGCGCTTTTACGAGGACTGAAGATGTATAGCGAAGGGCCGGTATAAAAGTTTATTTATTAAGGGCGCGGTTGCTTATTTAGATGTTCGATCACCGCTTTAAAGGCTCCAAGAGAATAATGCAACATTCCGTAGTAAATTCATACGGTACGGCATTAAAGAATGTCCAATTTATAATTTTCTCCAGAAATATAACCTAAAAATCTCTCGAAATGATTTCCAGCGGGACTAGGCAGCTATTAAATTAGGCAAAGATACCAAGCATTTCACATTATAAATGAATAGTCGAGTAGGAATACTTTAAAACACAACATTTTATAATCAAAAGTGACTAAAAGTGAATACCAAGTGAGTATCTTTAATTTACACTTACGGCGGTAAGAAATCTCCTGCATTATAAAAAAACCGGCCAAGCGCGAGTCGGACTCGCGCACGAAGGGCTCCGTACCATTACCTATAATAACGGCAAAAAAATCATGTCTGTGGTATGGGAGCACCCTTAAATATTTCTTATTTTATCTGTTTTTTAGTATTTCTTGCTATAGCGGCAACAGATATATATATCATCTGTGAAAATTTCAACTGTCTAACTATCACGGTTCATGAGATAAATTTTCTGAACCCTAAAAACCGTTCAAAAATTCGGCTTTCTAGTTGACGCCCGTAAAGTAGGATTGAAAGTTTCCTTTGATTTTAATGACGGGATCGGCGGGATCGTAATGTAAAATCGTACGCCGTAAAAACTTATACAGCGATGTATATAAAGCGGTGACATTGACTGGCACAATAAAAAGCTTTACGGAACCAGTTTCAAAGTTTATACGAAAGGAATCCACCCTACAAAAATCTAAAACTACGGTTCAATCTTCTATCTATCCTTAACATTACATTATGAGAAACGGTTCAAACCGATTGACTTTTTTTGAAAGAACTACATGTGCCTATATGTTACTTACATGTGTAAATAATTAAAATTGAGTTATTTGGGTATTGTAAGGAAAATATTTACATTTTATAGGATATAGGTACATCACTACATAGTATAAAACAAAGTCCCGCTGTCTGTCCGTCCCTATGTATGCTTAGATCTTTATAACTACGCAACGGATCTTGATGCGGTTTTTTTTTTACTAGATAGAGTAATTCAAGAGGAAGGTTTATATCCTTACTTAATATTATAGAGGCGAAAGTTTGTATGTATGGATGGATGTTTGTTACTCTTTCAAGCAAATACTACTGAATGGATTTTAATGAAACTACAAAAATATAGCTTATACATCAGAATAAGACAGGCTATAATTTATCATATACATAGTTTATGTATATCGGTCTTTCTGTCTGAATGTTACGCCTTCAGCCTATTCTATGCGTACGTAGTCGCGGACAGCAGCTAGAATGATAATAATATTAAATTTAACCGACGAACGCGCGCTCACATTCGCGGCGAAACGATTGTTCGTTGTGTTTGCATTGTGCTCGGGGGTTTTTGGCGCAATGCCGCCGTCGTTCAGCACGCCGATGAAACATTTGTCAGCTATTTTCGCCGCGGACACGCCATTAAATGTCTCGCGTCGGAATTAAAGTTTAAATGAGTCCCATAAGACCGCCCCGCGATTACCGGGATGGGTCTGAAACGCAATACGCCTGTCACGGTCTCAGCCCTCGGGAAGGGCGCATGTTAACTAATCAATTACGATGACAATTCACACTTAATTCTTACTGGGCAGATAGAGGTTCCTATGTTGTTGGTATAAAAAAAAGTGTTTGCTTATGTACACGCGTTAGAAGTTATACTTCTTTGGCGTAACAAGATAAAAATCTTAAGAAAATAACTTCAAAAATAAATATGTTTACTGTCACTGTGACGTCATTCTTTTCGTTTTTGTTTTTAATCCGTAGACTATTAAAGCTTTATCGAAGTCATATAGGTTACGCTAGGGATTTATACATTATTATCAAATATCATCATTGCATAAGTTGTCAACACCGTGTTTTTACTGTATCACTTTATTAAAAGGTGACAACGCATCTGCAACGCTACGGTCGTTGCAAATGTCCATGAGCGGCGGTTATCAGTATCATTTAACATCAGGTGTACCGCCAGCTTACTTGTCACTTCTTACATTAAAAAAAAATCACTGGCATTACAGCAAATGATCGCTTATTTTTTTCCCACTCCAATTAACCAACTGGGATAGACAAGATAGCTTTTCTTTTATCGTGTAGATTATTTGTGTCAATGACGCCGAGGGATTCGAAAGCATTTCGTAATTAGTACGACATTGGACAGCCCGGCTTGTAATTTCCTTCCATTAATCAAGCCTCATTGAATGCTTTTACGATTTATTTCCGAGAAATAATAATGGTCGCAGAATGACTCGAACAGTTTTTTCGGGACAGCGCGAATCGATGTAACTTAGAAATTTACGTGAGATTTTTCTAGGTGAAGCGAAAGCACCGTGCACCTGCAGAATGTACAGTTTTAATAGTCTATTATTTTTTTTTTTAACATTTGCATTTCTATGAAATCATAAACGCAAAGGTTTTCAAAATACATAATCATTTACCCATTTTATGTAGTTAATAAATGTTTAACGTACAATTCAAGCAATAGGACCTCGTACCTAATTGGATGAAAACTGTTAAAGACGCTTGTACAGACCTTAAACGAGATAATAGTTGTTTCCACATAGATTTCCAGACAATTCATTCATTTGAAACCAACGATGTAATGCCTTTGGTAGCTATATGTATACATTAGTGCAAAGCCTAGAGAATAGAAAATATAATATAATATCGTTTGCTATACTTTTATCATCTTTATCTTACGAAACCCGTCTTCTCGTTCCGAGAGTCGATGTTGTTTGTAACTCACCATAGAACCTGCGTCATGTTGACTATCCGACCCATAAGACTGTGTGGGCAAACTCAA